CACTTGCTCTATCCAAAATATGTCAGGTTCCTGCACTTCCCTCCCCTCCTCCACTAAAAAACTACTGAAAGAAAGCACAAAATCTCTCTTTGAAAATTCCAGCATTTCAATAAATATCAAAAGTTTTCCTAAATATTTTCTTCTGTCTTTAGACTAGAGTTGTTTTGAGTTGTGAGGCATTTCAACCCTCTTGGCAGCATCAGTCCTTGGCCAAAACACCCCCCTGGTGCTCCCCTTAGAGCCGGGCCCCAGCTCCCCCCACCTCCAGCCCGTTTGCAACTGCCACTGAGGTTCCTCTTCCAGCAAGGGGATCCAAGAGAGCCCATCCTTGTTACCTACCCAGAATCACCACCCCTAAACCTCCCGTCCCGCTGCTACCCCACGGAGACCCCCACGCTCGTGCCTCTGCTCCACAGGCACGCGATGCTTCGGAGGAGAGGCCAGCCGGGGAGGAATGGGCAGCACGGTGTGTGGAGGGTGGAGAGACAGGAGCAGCCCGAAACAATCGCCGTGCTGGTGATGGAAGGAGGTTCTCCCTGCACGTTTCAGCCACAGCTGGAGCACACTGGACACGTGCTGCAAAAAAAGTGCCTGTGAGTCCCCAAAGCCATGGCCATCAGCCAGCTGGGGAGTTGCAGAGCACAGAACCAAGCAATAAACAGAAGCTCAGATTTTTTTTCAGATGCTTTTATATGTTCTCACTACATTACTTAAAGGAGGATCTCTGAGTTTTGCTTTTTTTTTTTTCTTATAGGCAGAAAATTGCACTCAGACCATAATGTGGTAACAGTTGTAGACTAATGTGTTTTGACATTTGGGGAAAACCAGATGTATTCTGAAACAACTGAGATATCAAACTTAAACTATCGTCTCTGACTCAGATCCTTGACATGTTTTGCTCCCGCTCGCAGAGCTGCTGAAGGAACATGTCAGCACTGGGCTCTGTAGGGGCAGTGCGGGCAAGTGTGGGGCCGGCACGGCTGGCACCCCTCTGGCACCCCACCAGCACCCCACCAGCACCCCACCAGCACCCCACTGGCACCCCAGCAGCACAGGGCTCGGGCATGGCCCGGGGATGAGCTGGTGCAAGCACTGGGCTGCTCTGGTGGAGCCCATCTGGCTGCGGCTGGCTACAGGGTCCTGACCCGAAGGAGAGCCCGGTGAGGTGACTTACAAAAATACTTTAGCCTCTGGCAAACAACGAATGGCCACAGGGTGCTTGGCTGAAGCTTCCTTAGCTATGCATCCTGCAGAGGGCTTGAAAATTTAATCCTTTTCCCCAAATCATTTCTTGATTTTTTAGCGGGTTTGTTTTCTAGGTGTAACGTCCTTTTATGTGTTTTCTGTTGTGTGAATTATACAGTGTATTTGGGCGTGCTCTGTGCAGCCCTGTCCCACAGGTAGCGCTGGGGGAAGATTTCAAACACGGGGGATGAAAGGGATGTTCCCTGCACGCCACAAACACTGCAGCTCCAGTGCGTGGCCCCGCTCGCTGCGCGCCCGAAGAGCACGATCAGCCACAGTCCTCCCCTGGCTCTTCCTCCCATCAGCACTGGCACCGGCCAGTCCAAAGACACTGGAGCACCTGTCTGCCCCAGCCATGTGCTGCTGGGGGGTCCTGGGGAGCGGGCGTTTGCTGGGGGGTCTGGCCCTGGTTGTGAGCTCCCCGAGCCAGCCCTCTCCTGCCTTTCCTCAGCCCGAGGAACAGCCCCGGCTGCTGCTCAGAAGCAACTTCAAGATGCAAATGGGAAGGTGCTGGGATCCCTTGCGGTGAGGCCGGGGGCTCTGTGCCGGGGAGACCAAGGAGCATCACCCCCCAGTGGCACCAGCCCCGGGTCCCCCTGCGCACCCCACGACGGCTTGCTGCGCTGCCCAGGAAGGATGTGTGCGGGGCCGGGCGCGAGGCCCGTTCGCGGCGCTTGTGCTTCCCCCTCGTTCCGGGAAGCGCCTGATTTTCTGCGCAGAAGTCTGTTTAGGAGGATGCTAACTGTGCCTTGCACAGGCAGAGGCAGCTTGGGGGGCAGCAGTGAGGGGGTCCCTCCGAGGTGGCCCCTGCTCTCATACACACCCACCCGGTTTGGGGGTGCCGGGGCACTGGGGTAGCTCTTAACTGAGCCAAGCGGCAGCAGCCCCAGAGGAAGCCTCTCCCCCGGCAGCCCAGGGTGCTGCCCCCCCTGCCAGAGGGGCACCCCGGGGGAGGGTTTGTCCCCCAAATCGCGATCCTCCCTCAGCAGCATCCCCAGCGCTGCTGGGCTGCAGCAGCGGGGCTCACCCTGTGAAAACAAGGGCCCTAGAAACCTCGCAGAAGGCACGGGTTAAACACACCAGCCCCGGGAGGAGAAAAATCAAAGGTTTCCCTGCAAATCCATCTGCCCTACATCTCCTCTCCATTTTGATCTCCAAACTCATGCAAGTTTAAAAAGCAAGTAAATGCTGACAGTGTGATTAACCTCCCCACCTGCTTCCTGCTGCTTTCTCTCCTGGAAAGAGATGCTCAGCTCACCTGCCTGGTGGGAGAGGAACCTCCTTCGAGTGCGAGGATGTGGGGAGTCAAACCAAGGTGGTTCCACTGAAATTACAAAACACTACACTTTTAAATAGGCACTGAATTATTTAGCACCCTAGCGCTGCCCAAATGCTTTGCTCTTTTGGTGGGGGGTGGCTTGGTTTCCCTCCCAGCTTTTCTGTTATGACAGTGAGTAAATGGAGTGATATTGCACTCCCCAAACATCTATAAATAATAGCTGCGTTGGGCTCAGGCTCTGCCCCGGCGAACCAGGCAGGCTGGGAGGGGTGCCACAGGTGTCTGGTCCCGGGAACGGCACAGAACAGGGTGCTGCACCCCTGGCGGGATCCCCACGCAGCCATGGGGTGCTGCACCCCCCGCGGGATCCCCATGCAGCCACCGGCCAGGGCTGGGTGACACGGCTTGTCCCGGGTCCCCCTGTGCACCTGGAGAGGAAGGAAACATGGAATGCTGTAAACCTGAAAGACACGGATTGAAGGCACGGAGAAAAGAAGTAACCCCAAGGGGGAGGGGGTCAGGGCCCCCATCGCTGCCCAGCACAGGTCCAGACCCCTCAGCCCTTGGCACCCAGCAACTCGGAATTTCCTCCTACACGTAAGGCTTGTGGTGTGACACAGCAGGCCACTAGAGAACTGCTACTTATTCCTGAACTTATTACCGTTACATCTGTGTCCCAGACACATTCCATTAATCCTCAGCAAGCCCCTGACAGAAAAGGCAGCAAAGCTGCAGATGAGATAAAAGGCCATTTTCCACGCAGCCTGTTCCTCGTTGACAGCACGCTACGGCCAAGCCTCCCTGCTCTGACCCCAGCACCGGCCTTCCCGTTCCACAGCCAGCGACAAGTGCCAGGCACCCAGCCAGCCCCCAGCACCCACAAACCCGCTGCCTGAGAGGAGGACCTGGGGGTCCGGCAGCTCTGAGACCACCTCTGCTTTACACTCTGCATTTAGGAGCTTCATTTTCACCAGGCAGGTTGAACATGTTTACCGTACGTCAGTACTATTTTACAATAGCTGATCTAGATTTATGTAGCGTTATTGTGCATTTTTAATTCTCTTTGGATATAAAACAGGTCAAAGTGTTTCATTTTCCTCTGTGTATTGTTTTGCTCCTTCGTATAAAATTCAATTGAAAATGTTGTGACATGTATCTCCAATTTGCTTAAAGAAACAAAGTCTAAACCATGTCTTGATGACGGAATAAATTTGTCTCTAATATTTCCAGGCACACTGCAAAGCACAACTAGTGTCGTTAAAGACAAACTCGCTTAATTGCTTTAAAACACTCTGTTCTGAAAATAACTAGCAAAGCTGTACGACTGGAATGAATTCCTTCTGCTTTGTACTGGTGTAAAGCGGCGTTTTCCCTTGAGCCAGTGAGCCTCTGCAGAGTTCCCGTCCCTTTGCTGCGGACACCCACCGCAGCCTGCGGCCACCCGCTCCCGGCAGCCCGGGCTGAGACGGTGGGTGCCGGTGGGTGCCAGTGGGTGCTGGTGGGTGCCAGTGGGCCAGTCCCGTCTCTGCTGGGCTGAGCGTCGGGCTCATCCGGGCGGTGGTCCGGGCTGCTGGGGACCTGCCGGGCTGCCCAGCCAGGGCTCCGATCTCGGGGTCCCCTGGGAGCCCCTGCTCGACGGCGGGGCTGCTCCCTCGCTGAGCTAGGCTTAGCTGCGCTGACTACTGGGCTGAGCCAGGCTGGGCTGGGCTGGGCTGCCCGGGGTGCTGGGACTCCCAGTCCTCTGGCCCCAGTGCCGTGGCGGTGTCTCACCCCGGTGTCCCCCATCTCTGGGGTGCAGGTGCCAGCCCCCACCCTGGCCGCGCGGACCACAGCGCCGGGCCCGGGGCTCAGCTTGCACCCAGCAGGAGCTGCTGTCCCGAGGGGCATCTCTCATCCCAAACTGGATGTGGCTCCCGGGGTAGGCAAACCTCCTCCTTGCAAACTGGGGAGAAGTGAAACCTTGGAGAGGGGGAAGTGCAGAGAAAAAAAAAAAAAGGGACCGGACTTTAGGATTTTTGCAGCTGAGCATCACCGGTTTTCTCGGGGGAATGCAGATGGCCCCAGCTCCAGGTTGTGCTCCCCGTGCCGGTGGGTGCCTCCTTTGGGCAGCCCCCGGGGGCCACCCCCAGCACCCAGTTTGCAGGGACGTGCCCCGAGGGGCGGGCGCACAGACACACTGCACGGACATGCACACACATGTACACGCACACACACGTGTGCGCTCCTGCCAGGACACCGATCGTTCACGTCTGCACCGCGGCAGCGGGCTGCTGCCTTCCCTCCCCTCCCTGCGCACCCACCCCTGCCCCTGCCCCCCAAGCCCCCGGCACCCCACAGCCCCAATCCCACCCTGCCGCGTGTCCCCGCTGCCCCGGCCCGATGCTCTCGCCCCCCTCTCCCCACTCTCCTCCCTCCCCTCCCACGCATGCTTCTGTACGTCTGCCCCCCCCCCTCCCCCCCCCGCAGCTCCCGCGATATCAGATGTGCTTCTATTGATTTCCTCCCTGCATTTGTTTTTGTTATTCATTATTAATGGGATCATTTTTCCATCCTTCGTGCATGAAGGCAAATCTTGTGTAAAAATCAATTGAGTGAGCACCGCCAATGGCTTGTTTGGTTTTCTGTGCTTTCATCTCTTGTGTGCAGTCCCTGGGAGACAGAGAGCAGGATATTAAGGAACAAGCATGGAACGGGGGAAAAAATAATAAATCAATTGTTAGTGGTTCAGAAACCATAGCCTGGGGTTTGCCTGCTGAACCTTTGTCTCATGCAGACGGGCTTTACTGGGCATTTCCCTGCCCATCTCCCAGTTCAGCAGGTTTCACTGCACCCTTTCCCCTGGCTGTCACTGAAAGGGAATTCCATTTCTCACCAAGTTTGGTCTGAGTTTTTCATTTTACCTGCAGGGGGTAGGACGACACGTTGAGGAATTACATGTCCCAGGGCAGGTCCCGCAGCCCCGCTGACCAGGACGAGGAGCTCCGGGCGCCCAAGAAAACTGAGAGTCCCGATCCTCACGCACTCGGAGAGATCGACAGGGCACGAGGGAGCGGGGGGCTGCGTTTTGGTACTCTGAGAGGGTGAGGGTGACCCGGCACAGCCCCCGCAGAGCCAGAGCCCCGGGCAGGGCTGGCAGCCCCCGGCCCCGCGGCAGGGCTGGAGGGCGCGGGGGGGGGGGGGACACGGCGGCCAGGCGGGCTGCCCGTGAGGGGCTGCACCCCGCTGCCAGGCTTCTCCTGGTGCCGCTTCCCACCAGAGTTGCTTGGCAGCTCGGCAGGACGCAGCTGCCCACGAAGCCTTTTAGCAGCACAATGCACAGGAAAAGCGAGCGGTGCCTCCTGCGGGGCGCAGTGTCCCGGGCTCAGCAATGCAAACCTTACCGTTGGAGAGCAACAGCCAGTAAAACTCTCTCTGCAGTTCCCGGCTGCAGCCCAAACCGGCCCGTGCCTTGGCTCTGCGGGGAGGGGGGGCAGAGAAGCCGGCGGTGACCGCGCTTGTGGCCGGTGAGACCGGAGGAGAGAGCTGCACCCCCGGCTCCGGCCGCACTCCCGCTGGGCACCGACCTCCTGCCTCCCTCCACCACCCCTCGGCGTGGCCGTCTGCTGTTAGGACACTACTTGGCATATCAAGAAGAAAATGTAGGCTGATTCTTTGTGCTTCCTCAGCAGTAAATACCATCTCTGAACTGTTTCCACTGAAGTTGAAGGAACTTAATCCCCAGCTTCAGGAAAATCAGATGAGCTCCCTGCATCACAGCGTATTTATCTGGCACCAGAGCTTGAGGAGCCAGACCCAGGGAGAGACTGAGGCACCAACAGTGATTCAAACAGCACGTACCTGATCTCTCAGGTAAAATCCCAAATGAAGTGATCAGGTCCTGTATGTGATATCTGGGCAGAGCAGGGCACAAACCAGCACACGCAGAGTCAAAATAAACCCGGAATGTGCAAAGAGTGAAATCTGGGCAGAGAGAGCCTCTGCAGCGCTGCCTCTGTGCAGAGAGGGACCCGGAATAAAGGAGGGTGAACGAGAAGGACCAGGCGCTTCCGAACTCCCTGGTCAGCATATCTGAGGGACAGAAGGAGCCCGCAGAAGCTCGTTTCTGGAACAGCAACAGCAGGTTTGGGAAAGTTCGTTCAGGACTTGTTTTACATCTTTAAGCCGTTCTCTGGACCTAGCCACGAGGGACAAAAGCAGAACCGTCACAAAAACATAGCAGATCTAGGCAAGCCCAGAACAGCTGCAGAAAGTAAAACCGCAGTGAGACCTTTGCCGTCGTAACAACAAGTTCGATCCGATTTCCCTTTCCGCAGTGAACAAGCAAGAAGGTACGGCCATCACAGCTCTCAGGTTGTCTTACACCGGTGAGCAGGAGTGCTCAGTGAGGCTCAGGCTGGACTAAGCGAGGCTGAAGCCAGCTTTAATGCAGAGCGGGGAGGACGACGATCCCCTCCGAAGGCAGCTTTAGGGCGTTCAGCCCGTTTCTGTCGCAGGCTGGAAGCCCGGGGGCTTGTGAGACGGCAGGAGCGGGCGCTGCCCTGGGATGGGCCCTTCGCTCCGGGCAGCCGAGGGGCACGGCACCCCCGGTCCCCTCCCCGCCGCCGGCCCCGGCCCCCCGCAGCCCGCCCCCCCGGGGCTCCGACAGCGGCCGGGGCCGGGCGGAGCAGCGCGGGGCAGCCGCGACCCCCGGGCCGGGCGGGGGGGGCGGGGGGGCGCTCCCGGCCACGGACGAGGGCGAGGGGGGAGAGAAATACGCCTCTTACCTCCCCGGTTTGTGTAAAACCGCCCGCCCCGAGCCCCCCGCGGGCGGCAGAGAGCAGCTGCCGGAGTCCAGCGGGGGAAGGACGCCGTCTGAGCTGCCTTCTGCCCCTTTTATATACTACGGTAGGCGATTAATTTTGCATCACCCGTATTTTAAATTTTCAGAACCCACAATATAAAGTAATGGCATAAGGGCATTTATTATTAAAGGGCGTTTGATTGGGGAAAAATCATTGGGGCCGATCGGAAAAACACGGAGCGCGGGAGCGTTCCGGCTTCCCGGTGACCTGCGATGAAACGGCTGAGCCTGGAAGGTCCTTCCCTAATGGGGGAGGAGGGCGAGACCCGGTTCCCAGGGCTGATGTTTGTCACTCATTGAAATGCGAAAGTGAAATATTCAGAGGAGGCTCGCGCTTCGATCATTAATTTTTAATCGTTAAGGTGCTTCTGGGAATCGTAAATAAAAGCCGTTTCCCCTTCTAAACAGCATCAGAAATGAACCCGCGATAGGTTTTGGTGGTGGTGGGTTGTCTGGTTGCACCCGACGGGCGGGACGCGCAGCGGGGGCCGCGGGGGTCCCCCTCCGCGGCGGTCCGCGGGCGCGGAGCGGGCGGTGGCACCGCGGGGCCCGGCGGGGCGAAGCCCGGTCCCGTTTCCCCGGGGGGACCGCGCCCCGCCGACGGGCGCTCGTTGGTTTTGCGCTCGCAAGCGACGTTCTCCGGGGCTGCGCTGCCGGCGCGGGGCGGCGAGGGAAGACACGTCGCTTCGGGGTTGAAAAATAAAGCTTTATTGAGAGCGGGGCGGGGAGCGGCGCTGGCTGGGAGCCGTGCGGGGCTGCGGGGCAGGGCCCGGCCCGTCGCGGCACCGAGTCCGGGCCGGCGCGGAGCCCCCGCCGCCCTGCTCGGCCCCGGCCCCGGCGCGGCCGCGCCGTCAGTGCCCCGCCGAGTACTTCATGCGCTTCTGCTTCTGGCGCTGGTTGCAGAACCAGACGCGCACCACGTTTTTCTTGAGGTCGAGCTTCTCGGCGATGGCGGCGATCTTCTCGGAGGAGGGCCGGGGCTGCAGCGCGAAATACGCCTCCAGCGAGCGCTTCTCGGGGGCGGCGATCGAGGTCCGCTTGCGCTTGCGCTCGGCGCCCGCCAGCAGCTCGGGGCCGGCGGCGCGGTCGCGGTGCGCGGCCTCGGCGCCCTCCAGCCAGGCCTGCAGCACCGGCCGCAGCGCCGTCATGTTGTTGTGCGACAGGGTCAGCGACTCGAAGCGGCAGATCGTGCTCTGGCTCAGCGAACCCACCCCCGGCAGCTTCAGCGCCGCCAGCGCCGCCCCCACGTCGGCCTGGGTCACCCCGAGCCGCACCCGCCGCTGCTTGAACCGCTCGGCGAACGCCTCCAGCTCCCGCGGGTCCGCGGCCGCCTCGGGGGCGGCGGGCGGCGGCGCCGGGCCCCCCGGGGGGCCCACGCCCACGGCCAAGGGGCCCGCGGCGGCCAGCGGGTGCGGCGGCAGCGGCGCGGGCAGCGCCGGGGGCTCGGGCAGGCCGCCGACGGCCAGCGAGGGCGAGAGGTGGTCCAGCAGGTCGCCGCCGTCCAACGCCGGGTGCGGGAGCGGGTGCGGGAGCGCGGCGGGGTGCGGGAGGGCGGCGGCGGCGCAGGGGCCGCCGCTCATGGCGGGGTAGCTGGCGTCCGGCTTGAAGGGGGGGTGGTGGTGGGGAGGGGGGTGGTGGTGGTGGTGGTGGTGGTGGTGGTGGTGGCCGCCCTTGGCGTGGGGGACGATGTCGACGGCGGCCAGAGCCTCCGCGCGGGCCAGCAGGCTCTCATCAAAGCTCCCGAATATATTGCCCTGCAGCTGCGAGCAAGAACGCGCATGGCGGAGTCAGCGGGGAATACTGTAATCGCCGGGTGAACAGCCTGCCCCGGCACCGCGGTTCCTCCTCGGAGCTCAGGTCATAAAAATTAATATGAAGGCAGCAGCCCTGCTCGCGCAGACGGGCGGATCAGAGGCGGGAGCGGGAGCGGGAGAGGGGGGAGAGAAGTTCCGAGACGCGCGATTGTTCTGGCGACATGAAAAAAACATTAAGCCGGTGCCTGTCAGAAAATGTGCCTTAAAGCGGTAATTATGCTTCATCTACATACCTGCGGGGCCGGGAGGCAAACTCTGCGCATTGCCTCCGTGCTGGAGTGCAGGCTGGAGAACTTGGGCTCCTGGAGGGCGGCGTGCATGGCGAACGGCTGCTTGGCGTTCATGGCCATCATCCTGGCGCGCCTCGCAGGTAGGCAGCCCCTGACATCGGCTCGGGGTTGTCTCTCTGCCTCGCCACTGCCCAAGTGAGCGATTTTCGATGGCAGAGCTTCCCCTGCGCGCCCGCTCGCCCCCCCCAACACCCCCCCCACCCCCCCCCGCACCCGCTTCTTCACTCATCTTACACGCTGCCTGCCAGGAGCGGGCCCCGCGCACGCGTGTTGCGCCGCGGGGAGCCGAGGGCAGCCCACGGGCAGCCCACGGGCGGAGGGACCCCCGGCCTCCCGCCCTCCGGCTCCCCGCTTGGGGCGGCGGGACGCGCCGTCGGGGCCGCGCCGGGGTCGGGCATCGCCTCGCCGGGTTCCCCCCCCCCCCCCTCCCCGCAGCCCCGGCTGAGCCCCCCCGCTCGAACCCTGCCCTGCCCTCGGCCGGCGAGGGGCGTCGGGGGGACGGGAGGAGGGGGGACCTCTCCGTGGGGCAAGCCCACGGGGCTGGCGGCTGGGCCAGCCTTGCCCGGGGACCGGTGCCGCTCGGTCACACGCCTCCTTACATGTCTTTGGAGCGGCTTCGCGTCCAGAGGGGCTCCGGGACCCCAACCCAGGCCCGCGGCCTCGGGCGCGGAGGGGGGTCGGGGTGATGCCGGCGCTGCCCGTCCCTCGGCGGCGGAAATTGCTCTGCAAACACAAGGCACACCCGCGCTGGCTGCCAACCTTCATAAACCCCGTAAAATAGTTCTCAAGTGCAGGAGAGTAAAGTAAACCGAGAGATGTTAAGTGAGCTGTGCCACGCTCACAAAGGTATTGCGGGCTGGAAACATCCGATCCTTGACTCGGTCCGAGAAAACAGACAATCACCCTCCACACACTCCCGCCCCCCCCCCTCCCCCCGGGAAAAATAGTCCTGAAGTTGGCATGATTCTGCTATTGAGCTGTCATTTTATTTAAATTTTCTCCTAATCCTCACACATCTTCAGGCACTACTAGACGTTGATGGTCCAGGGATGTAAGCGTTTTGCAAGTGTGAAATTTGAAGTCCTTAGACAAAAATAAATTCTACTCATGGATTTAAAGTTTCTGAGAGTTTTACGAGCCTGATTAAATACAGACCGAGCGCCAGAGGAGCTACTGCCTCGGTTTCCTGGCAAGTGGTGGCCTGCGGTGGCGGGAGGACAGAAGAGGCACAACCCGTGGGCGCAAACGCCGTTCATTTGGGACACTCGCCCACGCCCGGTGCGTGTGTCTCTCTCGGGGCCGGTGGCTGCAAGGCTGACTGGCGAGCAGATCGCCTCCCTCCCCGCGCAGCGCTGCGCACCGGCGGAGCCACCCTCGGCCCTCGGGGCGCGGGAGCGCGGGCCGAGCCGGCGGGACCAGGCGCCGGTCCCCCCCCCCGCCACCCCCCCGGGGCTTCGGCGCGGCTCGACCCGGTCAGGGGGGGGACCGGGGGGTAACACCGGGGGCTCCGGCATCACCGGGCGTCAGCACCGCGGACAGCGCCCGAGGCGGGGGCGCGGAGGATGCACGCAGGATGCGCAGGGCGCTCCGCACCCGCGGCTGCCCCGCCCCGGCCGAGCCGCTCAGCCGGCGCAGGGGAGCGGGGGACCGGGCTGCGGCGGGCGCGGAGCTGCGGGCTGGCGAAGCGGCTTCCTCCCGGCGCGGGGAACCGGCGCGTTGTCGCACAGCTCCCTGCCCTGATTTATGATAAAAAATTTAAAGGAAATCATTTATATTTCAGAGGGCCTAAATAGCGGCATGAAAGTTTTATCTAAAGTGGCACCATATTTATAGGCAGCCCTGCTGCGTTGGAAGTAATTAATAGAGGGATAAATTTCAGGCCTTTGTTTTGTTTTGTTTTTAATCCTCCCTTTATTTAGTGCTGTCTGGTTAATGTAAATAAAGAAGAGGAAGCAAACGGCAAGCTGGGTGTAAAGCCTGAGGTAGTGCCTGTTCGCCAGAGCACGTCCCCCCAGCCCCGGCTCTGAGAGCATTTGCACCGGGCTGGCATATTTTTTTTTTTTTTTTCCATCTCTCTGCTGTTGCTTCCTTCCCTTCCAAGCACGGAAGAGATGCCGGAGTCCTTGCCCACCTCCGTCCCCCCGTTCCCCCGCGGAAGGGCCCGCGCTGCTCGGAGGATGTGCCGTGGCCGAGCACCACGCGACGGATCCGGAGCTCGGCTGGGGGCTGGAGCTGCAGCCCAGAGCCGTCCCCTGTCGCAGCTGCCCTGGGATCACCTCTCCCCACCGCTGGGTTTGAGCACAGCCTTCTCCTTCCCTCCCGAAGGCAGCTGCTTTGAAAGAAACCGGACTGGGTAATGTAGCTGCTGAGCTCCCTTTAATTAAAGCTGTAAAATATTGATGTTCCTGGCCCTGTCTACTGACGTTACACCTTACAAACAGAGGAGAGAAGTCCAAAGGATAAACAATAACAAGTTAAAAGAGCCCAGATGGTTTGCCATCAGAAACTATCTGCGGACTCAAAGGTGTCACTGCAATAGATTTCAGAGATCATTCACCTACTGGTAAATAATTAATGGTGTTTCTGGAAGAAAAACCCCCCACCAAACCCATACCCTGATGAAACATCACTAGTCACTCACTGAAAATCTGAAAGTAAAAGTCAGATTAAAGGCGTGTGCTATTTTATTCTTTGTCAAAATCCAACGATTACTATCCATTTGCCTAATATATCAAAATATCCTGTTCTTATTTAGAATTTAATTCAAAGCCCATCACAGTCACAGTGTTGCTGATAGGCTCTTGGTTTCATTGTATTAATTTGATTTAGTTTAAAAGTTATATAGAAAATGCTTACACAGGGCTGATGGGAAGTTTGAAAGATAGACATGTTATTTAATGCACAGTTCATGCTAACATTCTCTTGACCATGGACCGTAAGTGTCACTATCTATTACAGTCACAAAGCCAACACAACTTGCCCCATTGCATTCTCTTCAATTGCTATTTAAAACAATCACATAATTTCCTGCAAATCTGTCTCTTCTGCAGCAGAGCACTCCAATACTTTACCTTTTAAAATCTGTGAGTAATCTAAAGCATCCACGGCTAGCACAGATACTTTCCTTTCCCTCGCTGGGGAACACAGCCGTGTGTACCCGCTGTCTGCCCCCTGCTTCGGAGCCTTTGCTCCCCACCCCGGCCCACCTGAGTCCTGGCAGGGTTTCGTTGTCACCCCCCTGCATTTGTCTTCACTCTGTGTCTGAAGAAGGAGTCATGTTTTTCAGACCTGACTCAAGATTCATGTGATAAAGTCGTGTTGGTGAGATGCAGCCCGTTATGACAAAATCATAGAATCGTAGACTGGTTTGGGCTGGAAGGGGCCTTAAAGCCCATCCACTTCAACCCCCTGCCCCGGGCAGGGCCCCCTTCCCCCAGCCCAGGGGGCTCCCAGCCCCGTCCAACCTGGCCTTGAACCCTTCCAGGGAGGGGGCACCCACAGCTGCTCTGGGCACCCTGGGCCAGCGCCTCACCCCCCGCACAGGGAAGGATTTCTGCCTTAGATATAACCTAAATCTGCCCTCTCTCAGTTTAAAACGGTTGCCTCTAGTCCTATTCCCACCCCCTGATCCAGAGTCCCCCCCACCTTTCCTGTCCCCCCTTTAAGCCCTGGGAGGCCGCTCGAAGGGCTCCCCGGAGCCTTCTCTTCTCCAGGCTGAACCCCCCCAACTCTCTCAGCCCGGCCTCCCAGGGGAGCTGCTCCAGCCCCCCCGAGCATCTTCATGGCCTCCTCTGGCCCCGCTCGAGCAGCTCCCTGTCCTGCTGTTGGGGGCCCCCGAGCTGGCCCCAGCACTACAGGGGGGGTCTCACGACGCACCCACCAACACCGCTGAGTCCCTCTTTGTGGGGCTGCTCTCAGTCCTGTCATCCCCCAGCCTGCACTGATACTGGGGGTTGCCCTGACCCAGGTGCAGGACCCTGTTCTTGGCCTTGTTGGGCCCCACGATGCTCACACGGGTTCACTTCTCGAGCTGGTGTGCCTGCTGTGTCTCAAGGAAGAGTGACAAGTGTTGACTTTGGAAGGTTCCTGCAGAACCTGGGTTTGCACAGCACATTTCTAGTACCCTAAAAGTGTGAGCCACGCTGCACCCGGTATGATATGGCTGTTCCACTGCACAATCTGATCGAGGAAATATCTAGGATTACCCAGACAGTCAATTATTCATCAGCTAAACGGCCAAGCATCAATTACCTGGCTTGATTCTCTTATTCATTAAGGAGATTGAAGAGGCCAACTTAACAAAGCAAAAAGAAAGTTGCTAAGTTACAGGAGCTGCCCAGCTCAGTAGCGGGGCCACACTGTGTCAGGCTTTCAAAGGGAAGGGGTCTGACAGTGAGGAAGTCTCCGAGGCTATAGAGTGTCACCCAGAGCACTCGGGTTTTAGAGCAGTCCATTCCTGTGCCGGGCTGAAAGTAGTGGGGTTAAACAGAGAGGCAGGACTGTGCCGGAGCCAGAACTGCACCTCGGTGCGGGTACAGTGAGAGGTCAGCTGGGCCTGACCCCGAAGGGAAGGCTCGAGAGAATGGAAAGTACTGTCGGTGTGTTGAAGAAGAACCCAAAGGGTTAAAGTGAGGGGCCAGGCAATGGCCATCCTCATTCTGGGAAGTTTTTAATACAGGTCAGGGGTGTGATGGAAACTACTTCAGAGAGAAAAGTGGCAAGTGGCATTGCCACTCAGCAGAGATCCCCACCTGGTCCTGCAGCAGAGCGAGCAGACAGGCAGTTTAAGACGAAAGCACATTTCCCACCGCTTCTGAGCCACCTCCCCGTGCAAAGGGACCAGGCGCTGAGGGGCTCGGCCGCCTGCCGAGGGTCACCACAGCCCGGGGACAAACTCGGAGAGGGGAAGAGGCGTGGAGCTGCAGGAGGGGTGAGCCCAAGCTGCGTGTTGCTGATAGTCTCGAGGGTGAGCCGTGGAAGCCGAGCGAGAGCCGGCCGGCGTCCCGCAGCGCGTGGTAAAACCCCGCAGCTCCGGCTGCTGAGCTGCACACCGGCAGCAAACACCACCAAAAAACCCGCGGCGAGCGTGGGGCGTACGGCCCCGAGCAGCCGGGGCGGCTCTGACCAACCTGGCCCAGCTCGGGGAAATGGAGGCTGCTGCCAGCACCGGCGTTTCTCTTGCAGAGAAGCGGGTGAAGGGCTGGGGCCGTGGGTCTGGGGAGCTGCGCTGGCCCTAAGGACCGGGGCGGTGAGGGATGGGGACGGTGCCTGTGCTCGCCCCGGGGCTGGGGTGTGCGGTGCGGGGTGCGCCCAGGCATCTGCCACGAGGCAGAGCGGGATCGGAGCTGTCCCCCGGCACCCACCTGGGGAAAAGGCTCCTCAGGGAGGTAACGTCAGCCTGCAGCGGGACACGCAGTTTGAGCTGATGGGTGACGCGCCCCCAGATTGCTGAGACCTGGAAGAGAATAGTGGCAATAAATTAAAAGTCAGAAAGCTGCGAGGTGCGTAGCTGCACAGGCACCATCTCTCAGGGGTTCTGTGACTGCTGGGTGGCTGCTGCTCGCAGGGGCTGGAGGGAACAGCCAGGGCCAGTCACTGAGAAGATTCTTTTTAAACAGAGGTTTCCAGTGAGCACTTGTCTCATCAGCATCACCGACCTGCTCTGGCAGCAAACACCCCCGGGCCGTGCGGTGCTGCTGTCACCGGGGTGGGTCAGTTCCCGGCGCCCTGAGCGCGGTCCCGGCCGGGTGGCTCCGGGCCCCAGAGCTGCCCCGTGTCCCCCG